ACAAACCTAGAGAACCTGAGAGAAGCCGAAAAGGTGATTAAGAAAAGGGTTAGTCTGTTTACTGTATTTATAGATTTTACAAAAACATGTTTTATTAATTAAAAAAATAGGGTTTTAACCATTTGGGCCGAGCCTATTAAGTATGGACCTATCGGTTTAATTTTTTTTGGGTTTCTCTTAAGGATTTTAAACAACTACGTCGTTTTAAGGATTTTATTGCATTACAAAAAAATTTCTGTTTTTGTTTTGGTTAAGAACTAATTAAGATCAAAGGAGCAAGAGCATATTCAGATTTTTCATGTATGCAGTATGCTATGTATCAAACTTAATTGTGGTCAATCAACAATATCTAGCAAAAGCGGATTTTTCATTTTATGGATAATCTACAACATAAGTAAAGAATCAAGGCCAAGTGTAATAACCCTAATCAAGGATCGCTAGTCTGGACTAAACGGAAGAGTTATCAACATATGCCTTTATCTTTCCACACTATACCACATATTAAAAGAGAGATTTTATCACCATCACGTTATTTCTTCACGATTTATATCCGAGCGTCTATCTTTATAAACAAAGCGAGAATGTTTATACAAGGGAATTAAACTCAGCGTGACTATGTCGACGTCCAATACAAAAGCACTTGCCAACACGTTCGGATCAATCGGAGGGTTGGTTTGATGGGAAAACCGCATTCCCGACCGAGATGAAACTTTTTATGATGGGTGTATGTAGCTTAGCTTGACATAAAAGAAACATTCCAACTTATCCCTAGAGTCGTTGATATATATATATATCAATCAATGACTTGCAAGTTGGAACATATAGAATCATTAGAATGGCCAATAAATAGAAACAACTGCCTCTAGTTGTACGTATTAAACATCCAGAAACACGTTCATTGTCATTGTCAAATCATTATTATGCATCACAGCCATATAACAAGATAGAGTAATGTAGCATCCACGACAGAAGAAACAATTGGTTTTTCTTCTGGTTTCCTTAACTGTCGAGTTCAGGCTCCTTTCCCTGTGAAAATCAGAGAAGAGATGAAGATTCTTGAAAGACGAAATTAAACAAGTCCATAAGTAAGACAAAATTCATTCCATACCATTTCATGGAAATGTTGTTCCACGAGTTTTTGTTTTTCCAGAACTCTCTTCGTCTCTGGAAACTCTTTTGCTAAGTCGAACATTTCTGAGTTATGAAAACAAAAACTCGTGGGTTAGGGTTCAATGATCGCCTGCGCGACCAATGATCTCAGAATCGGCGCCATGATTGGGAATTAGGGTTCGCTCTTTCTTGGTCGGGGATATTATATGGACCTTCGGTTTTGTTACAAACGGGCCTTTAATCTTGAATAATATAATACCAACAATTTTTTTTTTCTTTCTCTAGCTTGAGGTATTCTTAAAATCAGGGTCGGCTTTCTCTAGTTGCTCTTTATTTTTATAACGCAAAAAAAAATTATCAAAACAAAACAAGGTAATTGTGTAGGTCATATTATACACGAGTATATGTTGATCATCATCAGCCAAATATATATATCAATAAACTGATGATCAGGTACATAAGATCCATGCACGTATATAACAGAAAATATATCTCCCTACAACAACCAAGTACAAGACCTCCAAGTA